ATAAATATTAGGTGCTCATTTAATATTAACTGAATCAATGAATGAATGAATGGGTTGATGGAAGAATGGATGAATTAATGAGAACTCCTCTGCGGCATAGCTAATACGTATACTGTCCAGATCGTGGCCCATTTGACTTACTGCCTTTCCAAATCAACCAGACTTGTGATCCTTCATATTTAGTGTCACAAGAACTAGAAATCTACACCCGAGAAGCAACACACACCTCCCAGCCCATGCAGATCCTTTAGACCTCTACTCCATTCATCTTTTACCTCTCAGACCACTTCCTGCCTTCTGCCTTTCCCCTTTCCCCTCTCCCTAATTCTCCACCTCTGACCCTTTGGCTGTAGAGCCCTGCCACAAACAAGAGATGTGCACCAGTACCGACCTGACTGGACCTGACTCACCAGCCACATCCTCTGGTTTTCCCTAGCAAGATACCACTATTTATTTTGAGAGGAAATGTGGAGCATCCAAGAGTCCTGGGCTGTGTATCCTGCAGATACCCAAGTGAGCATCAGCCTTTGACTCTTCAAAGCCAAGTGAGATTCAGGTTTCTTAGTCTCTGGAGTCCCTAGTTCCATCATCATATCTCAGCTAACAAATCCCACTGTACTTTTCTCAGTTGTGAGCATATTTTTCTCCAGACTCTAACTAAGCTCTTTGTGCCCAGGGACTAAATACAAGAAATTGTGGTTAAGAGCCCTAGATTCAGAGTCAGACAACTGCATTTGAATCCTCACTCTACCACTCTGTGGTCTTGGGCAAATTCCTTAACAGAATTTTCTGTGGCTGTTTCCACATTAATAAAATGATGGTAATAGCTGCCCCATGGTATGTAAAGTGCAGGCAAAGCAGAATCCCAATAATACTGCCTTTGAGATCATCATCCCCTGGCTTGGAACCAGAGGTTTTTTTTACTGTATTTCTGACTTATTCTGTTTTGAGTTCCAGTGTCCACCCTAAACTCTAGAACTGGAGACTATGATACCTGCTGCTAGATGCTCTTGACACCTGTTGTTTATCTGCATTCCTGGTGTCCAGGCATCACCAGTTCTCAAACACTCCCATTATATGCTCTCTCACCAGATTATAGCTCATGCAATCTTCATGCCTAAACATGATTCTCACTTGTAGCCTGCCACTTCTTCTCTGACATTCCATCTACCTGGCTGGATAACAATCTAGCCATAAGCATTACCCTCTCTCCGCTTTACTATTTAGCTTCCAGGATTCAGCCCTACCCTGTCTGGCCACTACTACAACCTTCAGAACCCAAGTTCTGTCACCAGAGTCACTCCTGATTTAAAAGACATAAATAAAATACAATAAATGGTCTCTATCAAAGCTGACTTCATGCCAAGCTTCCAAAGTCAGTAAAGACTGCCATATCCCCACAACATTTTAGCCTCTATCCCACATGGGTCCTCATGCTGTCATGTAGCTTCCTTCTCTATATGGACCACTGTGTTTGCCCCAAAGTCTCACTACTTACTTCCCTTCTCACACCAACCATCAAGACGCATAAAGTCAATGTTCTATTCTCTCCACATCCATTTGTCAACAATAAATAAGGGCATTTGTATCTGCTCTTATAAGATGTGATTTTCATACAGGTCATCAATGGGTGTTAAAACCATTGGGTAAAAGGTTGAAGGTGAACAGGGTATCTTAGTCTCAAAGTATTACTCCATAGATCATCTATTCATTATGATGCAGAAAGGTGATGTTTACAAGGAAGAAATCAAGGAGACAACACTTAACCAAACTTAAACTATGATCAAATTTAACATCATCAATAAGGGGACAAACATGCCTCTTGGCAACATGCACCAAGAAGAACTCATTATGAACTGCTTATGAATTACTCTTGCCAAAAATGTTTAACATATATATGACCCTAAGGAAATAATCAGATGAATCCAAATTCAGGGACACTAGCCTGGACTCTGAAAGTATTAAAAAGAAGAAGAAGAAGGAGGAGGAGGAGGAGGAGGAGAAGAAGAACAAGAACAAGAAGAAGAAGAAGAAGAAGGGGGGAGATTAAGGAGCAAAACTAATAAATTCACTGAATGAGTATACATGATCCTTGGTTTAAAAAACAAAACAGCATGGGGGAGGGCACTTGTTGGGATGAGCTCTGGGTGTTATATGTAAACCAACTTGACAATAAACTATTTAAGAAAAAAATAATATAAAAAATAAATAATAAATAAAATAATAAATAAATAAATAATAAACAAAAAACAAGAACAGCTATAAAGTATATATTGGGATAATTGCAGAAATTTGAATATGGACTGTACATTAGGTATATATCTAAGTAAACTATCTAAATTACTTTTCTTGAGCATAATCATTATATTGTGTTTATGCAGGGGTGTCATGCTGTGTGGAACTTTCTATATGAAATAGACACATATGAAATGTGTGTATGTATGTGTATACCTATTTCATATACACATAAATAGATATACACACACATACATACTCAGAGACAGAGAGAAGTGAGAGTATGCAAATGTGGCAAAAGATTAACTGGTGATCTAGATAAAAGGTATAAGGTGGTTTTTTACAATGTTTTTTCAACTTTTCTGTAAGTTTGACATTTTTCAATATAAAATACCAAGGGAAAAACTATAAAAGAAGGAAGTTGTTCCTTTTCATATTTAGGGAAGGAGGAGGCTGAGAAAGGATTTGTAACAGTAAAAAACATAGCAAGGAACATGGTATTTAAAATGGAAAGCACTCTACCTTGAAAGAGCTTTTCGAAGAAAAGCAAGACTGGACTCCCATTTGTCCTGAAGATCCTTCCCTCTCTTGCAGCAAGCAGGTGCTGAATCATGAGATGTGTACAGCGCTTCACAAGCACTTCACCTACAGCATGCCATTTGATGCATGTGATGACCGATCTGTGAAGGAGACAGGGCAGGTGCTGTTACATTCACTTCTATTCATTTACAAATGAGGAATCAAAACACAAAAGAGAGGTTGTATCTGGCTCCAGTAACTACAGCTCAGTACATGGCAAAAGTAGGTCTTAATCTCTATCTCCCCTTTCATACTGGGTCAGTATTTTTTCTCCACAACAACTGCTATTCAGAATACCATGACTATTCAGAGATTGGAACTGCCCTGGGTTGAAGAGTGCAACCAACTTCGGCTGCGCCCCTGGTACGGGGAGTTTACACCCCCAAAAGAGCGAGGAGCAGCACTTGCTTCAAGAAGGGACTGGAGCACCGTCACTCTCCTCCCCACAACCACCGAGGCAGAGCTCCCGCCTGAGGCATTGGATCCCGCCACGCCCATCCCTGCCTGAGAGGTGCTCTCCTCCCTTTTTTTTTTTTCTTCCCCCTTTTTTTTTCTTTCTTTTTTTTTCTTTTTTTTTTCCCCTTTTTTACTCTTTCTTTTTTTCATCTTCTTTCTCTTTTCTCTCTTTTTTCCCCAGAACACTGACCTGATTAACTCTGGTCGCCAGAATACCATGACTATTCATTCATTTCATTGACTAGAGGGTGCCTAGCTGGCTCAGTCAGTAGAGCATGTGACTCTTGATCTCAAGGTCATGAGTTCAAGCCCCACGTTGGGTATAAAGATTACTTTTTAAATAAATAAATAAAACCACATTATAAAAAAAATAGATGACTATCATTTCATTGATTCTTATTGTGTGATATAGAAAGCTGGATAAAATATTTATCAACAATAATTATAGAGCATTTATTTATTCAACACATTTTTACTCGGCTCCAAATGCCAAGCATTGGGCTGGGAGTGGGGATACATGGTAAATGAGACCTTCTAGAGGAGCACAGTCCAGAAAGGGAGACTAGCTTTGGACGTAATAATAAGAATGCCATCAGAGTAGAAATCACAAATGTTCTGGCCAATTGAAAAAGAGCACTTCTCCCTCCCTTACCATAATGATAATCCTACTTTATTGCAATTATTTGGGTTTTTATTTTAAGTTTATTTATTTTGAGAGGAGGTAGAGAGAGAGAGCATGAGCCAGAAGGGGCCAAGAGAGAATCCCAAGCAGGCTCTGCACTGACAGCAAACAGCCAGATGCAGAGCATGAACCCATGAACCATGAGATCATGACCTGAGCTGAAAACAAGACCTGGATGCTGAACCAATTGAGCCACCCAGCCACCCTGGGTAATTACTTGTTTTAATATTTCCCCTCCCCCCGGGGCACCTGAGTGGCTCAGTTTGTTGAGCAACCAACAGTTGGTTTCGGCTCAGACAACGATCTCATGGTTTGTGAGTTCCAGCCCTTCACTGGACTCCACACTGTCATAGTGTGGAGGCTCCTTGGGAGTCTCTCTCTCTCACTCCCTCTCTCTCAAAACAAATAAATAGATAGGTATTTTCCTTCTCCTCCTAGAGCATCTGACCGCTACAGTAATCCCTGTATCTAGAGATACCTCCAAGACCCTCATCGGATACCTGAAACCACAAATAGTACCCAAACCTCATGCAGACTCTCTTTTTTCCTGTACACGCTGTTTTTTCCCTTCATACATGCTCATGATGAAGTTTCATTTATAAATTAGGCACAGTAAAACTAATAATAAAATACAACAGTTACAAAAATATACTGTAACAGGCTCCTGGGTGGCTCAGTCGGTTAAGCATCTGACTTCGGCTCAGGTCATGATCTCACTGTTTCTGAGTTCGAGCCCTGCATCCAGCTCTGTGCTGACAGCTCAGAGCCTGGAGCCTGCTTCAGATTGTGTGTCTCGGTCTCTGCCCCTCCCCCACTCACGCTCTGTCTCTTTCTCTCTCAAAAATAAATAAACAGGAAAAAAAAATTTTTAAATATATATATGTACTGTAACAAAAGTTCTCTAAATATGGTCTCCCTCTCTCTCAAAATATTTTACTGTCCAGTACTCACTCTACTTGTGACGTTGTGAGATGATAAAATGCCTACGTAATGAGATGCCGTGAGGTGAATGTCGCAGGCATCGTGACGTCAGAAGGAGGGCGACCTGCTTTCCCACCATGCTTGGCGGCAGGGAACCGAAACCCCGGAAAGCCGCTAATGAAGGAGGGCGTGTTTATATGCGAAGCACACAGCAACAGTGTCAGAAACAGAGGAGGTGTGAGTAAATATGCGGAAAATAGAGAAGGGAAGGAAGGGACCAGGGGGAGGGAGGGAGGATGGAAGGAATATCTCTGATTCTGAAACCCAATCTACCCAGTTTGGTTATACAAGATATTTTACAGCACCTCCTCTTCTCCCAACCCATTTGCCAACCAGCAGTGGCCTGGCAATGAGACAGTGTCTCATTGTCTTCGATGCTACAGCTCCAGAGAAGTGAGGAAGAGAGGCACTGTGGGTGAGACGTGTCCACAAAATCAGCAAATCTTATCCACGAGCCAGCACAGCCCACAAATTCTCCTGAGGGCAAAGCTTCATGAATTGCTGTAGCTATACCCATAGAGGTTTTAGGGTAGTTCACAGAAGAATCCTCTCAGTGCCCCTGGCTTTATGCTCAGCTAAGAGCTAGATGTTTCCTCAGTGTTGCTATAAATGGAATTGAAAAGAGTTTTATGGAAGGAATTAAGTCATCAGAACCATAATATGTGTGGGGCACCTGGGTGGCTCAGTCGGTTAAGCGTCAGACTTCAGCTCAGGTCATGATCTCATGGTTCATGGGTTTGAGCCCCATGTCGGGCCCTGTGCTGACAGCCCAGAGCCTGGAGCCTGTTTCGGATTCTGTGTCTCCCTCTCTCTCTGACCCTCCCCTGTTCAAGCTGTCTCTCTCTCTCTCAGAAATAAATAAAACATTAAAAAAATAAAATAAAATAAAAAATAAAAGGTATTAAAAAAAAGAGAACCATAATATGTGTGTGTGTTCATCAATTACCTATATCTTCAAGTAGACACCCTGCAGGAAACCTAGCATGGGGTCCCAAATTCAAAGCTGCTAAGGCCTCCCACGGATATACAACCTGGGCCAAGTTTTCAATATTCCAGCAGATGAGGAAGAATATGATGCTAGAGTCTCGCAAATGTTTTTCCAGCTCATACGTACTTCGAGGTACTTAATGTGGTTCTGTGATTAGAATTATCATTGTCATTCTAAAGAGAGTATAATTCAAATGCAAAGGGTATCACATAACAATACATACCATATCCCTGGGGGCTCAAACATGAGAACAGGAATTGGCCAGATCAGGAGGTTAAAGCAGAGCAGAGCTGTGGCAAAATCAAAACCAAACTGAGGCCATCGTTTCCATGTTCTTGGTACATGGAGGCTTTCTACCTTCTGCAAATTAGAACTTCCCAGTTTCCCAGCATGGCTAAAATTTACCCCTCACTCCTCAAACATGAATCCCTTGAAAGCAGAGCTCTCTCCTTTGTCAATTACACCTTTATGTGTTATTCCAAAAATCGAAAAGATGAGCCCAGTTCTTTCTTCCTGCTTCCTCACTCCACTATGAAAGTAAGCATATTCAGATATTTCACTCACTCCTTCAGATGATAATAATAAGGTAATGCTTATGGGTGAAAAAATCATTTCATGCATTAATACATTTTCTCAAGGTTAACATTTTACTAAAATCTTATATTTCCCAAAGCGAGGAGTGAAAAGAAGGATGAATACTAAGAAAGAATACTGATGTTTGCTTCTTAGGAAGCAAAGATAACCATTTTCTTTCAAATAAAGAGAAGGAAATAGATTTCCCAAGATAGGGTTGGTGATCCAGAAATCATTTAGGATAATAATAATAATAACAACAATAATACTAATTTGTTTAGGGATTACTATATAAGGTATATACTATTAAGCCTTTTAACAAATGGAGAAATCATAGTTTAGAATGGTTAATACTTGCCCCCAAGGTCATAAACCTACCAAGTGATGGAACTAAAGTGGAATCCAGGTAGTCAGATGCCCCCAGTGAAGGAAAAAATTTCAAAGCAGAAAATAATAGTTTCTCCACTGCAGTGAAAATATATTTCCTTTAAACCTTGATGTAACTCATCTGTCCATAAATACAGGCAATTGTAATATACCTTCGGTGGATCTGGCCTTAAAACACAGCTCCTGGCTCCATTTATATGCTGGAAAATTTGGTTGTCAATATTGATTAGTCAGAAGCTATTTCCTTCACAGGCCAAAACCATTTTAAATCTTCTGAAAGAGATAAACATCAAATTCTAAAGCGAAGTCCCTGATTTACATAGTGATTGTGCACATTGTTGCCATTTCCTGGACCCTTTACAATGTTTTATTGGCCAGCACATAGCAGACATTCATGAAACACTGCATTAAATGAAATGAATGAGTAAATGAATACATATCACTGGTCACTGTCTTGCTTGGGCAACTGCTTAAGGCCAAATCTGACTGGCTGCTCTGATCCTTGGCTACTCAATTACCTTTTGTCACCTAACAACTTACCCCAAAACTTAGTTGGCTAAAACAATAACAATTTACTATTTCTAATGATTCTACAGGTTGGCTGTGTTCTGCTCCACATGGTGTTGGCTAGATCACTCATGAGGCAACATGCAATGAGGAGCTAGGCTGGGGGGCCTCAGTGTTCTTCCACATGTGTCATCTCTGTCTCATCTAGGAATTCTACACTCCACCCCTCGGTGCAGCAGAGTTCCCTGGACTTCCATGCAGCAGCTGGGTTCCAGAAGAAAGCCTTCCAAGAAGACCAGGCCCCAAATGCAAACACTCACAAGGTACTCATCTGGCGGAACAGAGACTCAAGGCGTGGGAGAGGACAGTAGAGAGCATGAATCCAGGGGTGTGGTTCATTTAAGCAATGGTATATTAGTCTACCTCATAGGTCACCTTGTTTCTACTTCTTATCTCTTTGTTTCCTCTTCTGATCTCTTTGAGTACAAACTGGTCTGGAATAGTAGTAGAGTTGTAACCATCAGGATCCCTTTAGTTAGAAGTAACAAAAACTCAACTCAGATAAACTAAAGTAAAAACCAAAATATATAGACTCATGTAAGTATAAATTTAGGCATAAAGGGATCCAAGTGCTCAAATATTGTGTTTGGGACTCTCTCCCCCTCCATCTCTTGGCTCTACTGGAGAAGACAATTACCTGTTTTGATTAGATCCCTGGCCGCAACATCTTCTTGTTCCTTCTTTTAGGATGAATCCCTCCATCTTGGCATTTTGTCTAGGTCTCTGTCTTCTGTGTGTTAGGGAAGTCTGCTATATTTCCTGCTTCTGAGAACAAAAATGGCTATATTAAGAAGAGGTCAGGAGAGAGAAGTAGGGGTACCCACAGCTTCCTTGTCCCTCAAACACCACAGTGTTGAGGCCAAAGGAATTTGAATTCTAAGAATCTGGGCTGCAAAGTGACAAAGATGTCTCCAGAGACCCATGGGGACAACCTGGCAGGCCATAGGTGTGTGAGTGTGAACTGGGAGAGATAAAACAGGCCTTATGGGGGGGGCAGGGACCCCATCTGCGGAGAAACAAAGGGAAGAGAAAGAGAGGCTGAGGAAGCTATAGGACTCTATCTGGATAAGAGAAAAGCATCGGACCCAGACAGAGAAAGATCCAGTTTCTAACTGTGGGGCTTCCTCCAGACTGGGGCTGGCTGCCCAGTTCACATACCTGGTGGAAAGGGGAGCCAGTCCTGGGCTCGGTAACGGGTTCAGAAGCGCAGTCCCCAGTGGGAGAAAGCAATCCATCCCTGGAGCTGTGGGAATAAGTTATATAACCTTTCAAAGGACAAAGACCGTCTGCGTCCGCCAGCCAGAGGCCATCATCGGTGGCGCGGAGCGGCACTTCCCCAGTACCGGGGTGCACGAGAGGGACCCTTTAAGACATCGGGTTTAAACCCCAGCTGCACACCAGGGAGGCACGAGAGTGGGCAGAGCAGGACAAACCTCAAGGGCAGCGCGGGGCAGCAATTTCCCGGAACTGGGACGCACCGAGCGGGACCCTTTAAGACATCAGTGTTTAAATCCCAGCCCAGCACCAAGGAGGCACGCGAGTAGGCACAGCAGGACAAACCGCCTGCGAGGTCGGCCTGAACAGAGTGGTTTGGGACACCCGGCATCGTGGAGGAGAGACTAGAGTGTCGCCATTTTTCTCGCCATCACCAAGAAGGTGGGGCCTTGGGAAATGGACCGCATCTGGTTATTCTGGTTGTTGGTTTGTTTAAGCAGACGTGCTTAATCTATTCTCTTTATGCCTGTTCTAGATCACCTGCTTTATTTCCCCCTTTCTCTCTGGATTAAGCCATAGAGTTTCTCTGCCTGGTCAATTTTCTTTTCTTCTTTCCCCCCCTGCCCCTGTCATCTCTCTCTTTGTATGGGATAAGGCCTCTTCCATCAACCACCATCCCGTTGTTTTCCTGTAGCTGGTGTTTTTAGGTTTTTTTTTTTTTTTTCTGTTTTGTTTGCTTGTTTTCTCTTCCAGGGCTACTTCAGTGAATAAATCAAAGGACACCTAATGGAGGGTCCAAAACATCGCTACGATAGAATAACCAGGGGCGCCTGGGTGGCTCAGTAGGTTAAGCGTCCGACTTCAGCTCATGTCATGATCTCAGTTCATGGGTTCAAGCTCCACGTCAGGCTTTGTGCTGACAGCTAGCTCAGAGCCTGGAACCTGTTTCAGATTCTGTGTCTCCCTCTCTCTCTGACCCTCCCCTGCTCACGCTCGCGCTCTCTCTCTCTCTCTCTCTCTCAAAGAAATAAATAAAACATTTTAAAAAATGAAATAAAATAACCAAAGTCACAACAGAGAACAAGTAACACTCTCCAAAAAACACTGAAGGGCCAGGCCCTAGACAGTGTATGACCCCTCTTTAACATAGTAGTGCTCACAGGCGCAGGACACATAACAAGCTTTTAAAGCACATAAGGGACAGAAAACTAGCCAAAATGATGAAACAGAAGAATTTGCCTCAAAAGAAATTCGAGGAAGAAATGGCAGCTAAAGAATTGATCAAAGCAGTTATAAACAATATAACTGAATAAGAATTTAGAATAATGGTCATAAGATTAATTGCTGGGCTTGAAAAAAGCATAGAAGACAGCAGAGAATCTATTGCTACAGAGATCAAGAAACTAAAAAATAGTCATGATCAATTTTAAAATGCTGTAAATGAGGTGGAGGATTTGAAGAGGCATTGTAAGTGAGGGCTGAAGACACAGAGGGGAGAACAGGTGAAATATAAAATTATGGAAAAAGATGAAGCTGAGAAAAAGATTAAAAAATTCTGGACCACGAGGGGAGAATTAGACTACTAAGCAATTCAATGAAATGGAATGGATATATTTCTAGAAACATATAAACTATCACAGCTGAAACAAGAAGAAATAGAAAATCTGAACAGACCCATAATCACCAAAGAAATTAAATCAGTAATCAAAAATCCCAATAAACCAAAAAAAGTCCAGGCCCAGATGGCTTCCTAGGGGAATTCTACCAAACATTTAAAGAAAAGTTATTATCTATTCTCAAACTATTCCAAAAAATAGAAATGGAAGGAAAATTTCCAAACTCCTTCTATTACCTTGGTTCTAAAACCAAAGATCCAACTAAAAAGGAGAATTACAGGTCAATATCCCTGTGGAATATGGATGCAAAAATTCTCAGCAAGATACCAGCAAATCAAATTGAACAGTACATTAAAAGAATTATCCACCACTATCAAGTTGGGTTTATTCCTGGGCTGCAGAAGTGGTTCAATATTCATAAATCAATCAGCATGATACATTACATTAATAAAAGGATATAAACTATTTGATCTTCTCAAGAGATATAGAAAAAGCATTTGACAAAATTCATTCTTGATGCAAACCCTCAATAAAGTAAGAAGAGAGGGAACATATCTCAACATCATAAAGACCATATACAAAAGACCCACAGGTAATATACTCAATGACGAGAAACTGAGAGCTTTTCCTCTATGGTCAGGAACAAGACAGGGATCTCCACTCACACATTATTTGTTATTTAATATAGTATTGGAAGTCCTAGCCTTGGCAATCAGACAACAAAAAAGGCATCAAAATTGGCAAGGAAGAGGTCAAAATTTCACTATTCACCGACAACATGATACTCCATGTAGAAAATCCAGAAGACTAGAAGTGATACATAAATTCAATAAAGTTACAGGATTCAAAATCAACATACAGAAATCTCTTGCATTTCTATATGCCAATAACGAAGCAGCAGGAAGAGAAATCAAAGAATCAATGACATTTACAATTGCATAAAAACCATACCTAGGAATAAACCTAACCAAAGATGTAAAAGATCTTTACTCTGAAAACTACTTAGGAAAGAAATTGAAGATGACACAAGGAAATGGAAGAACATTCCATGCTCATGGTTTGGAAGAAAAAATATTATTAACATGTCTATACTACCCAAAGCAATCTACATATTTAATGCAATCCCTATCAAAATACTACAAGCATTTCCCACAGAACTAGAACAAAAAAACCCAAATTACCAAAGCAATTCTGAAAAAGAAAAACAAAGCTGGATACAACACACTTTAAGCTATATTACAAATCTGTAGTCATCAAGATAGTATGGTATTGACACAAACACAGACACATGGATCAATGGAACAGAATAGAAAACACAGAAATGAACCCATAACTATGTGATCAACTAATCTTTGACAAATCAGGGAAGAATATTCAGTGGAAAAAACAGTCTCTTCAACAAATGGTGTTGGGAAACTGGACAGTAACATGCAGGAGAATGCAAATGGACCACTTTTTACACTACACCACAAAAATAAATTCAAAATGGATGAAAGACCTAAATGTGAGACAGGAAACCATCAAAATCCTAGGGGAGAACATAGGCAGCAACTTTTTTGACATTGACCATAGCAATTTGCTACTAGACATGTCTCCTGAGGCAAGGGAAACAAAAGCAAACATGAACTATTAGGACTTCATCAAGATAAAAAGCTTCTTCACAGCGAAGGAAACAATCAACAAAACTAAACAGCAACTTACAGAGTGATAGAAGATATTTGCAAATGACATATCAGAAAAAGGGTTAGTGTCCAAAATTTGTAAAGAACATATCAACATTTCAAAATCCAAAAAACAAATCATTCAGTGAAGAAATGGGCAGAAGACATGAATAAACACTTTTCCAAAGAAGACATCTAACCAGGCTAACCAGACACATCAAAAGATCCTCAAAATCACTTATCATCAGGGAAATACAAATCAAAACCACAATGAGAGGTGCCTGGTTGGCTCAGTCAGGTAAGCGTCTGACTTTGGCTTAAGTCATGATCTCACAGTTCGTGAGTTCGAGCCCAGCATCAGGCTCTGTGCTGACAGCTCAGAGCCTGGAGCCTGGTTCTGATTCTCTGTCTCCCTCCTTCTCTCTACCCCTCCCCCACTCATGTTCTGTCTCTCTCAAAAATAAATAAACTTCATAAAAAATAAAAACCATGATGAGGTACCCCCTCACACCTGTCAGAATGGCTAAAATTAACAATACAGGAAACAACAGATGTTGGCAAGGATGCAGGAAAATGGGGACCCTCTTACACTGTTGGTGAGAATGCAAACCAGCATAGCTACTCTGGAAAACAAGATGGAGTTTTCTCAAAAAGTTAAAAATAGGACTACCCTACAACCCAGCAGTTGCACTACTAGGTATTTACCCAAAGGATACAAAAATACTGATTTGCAGGGACACATGCACCTGATGTTCATAGTACCATTATCAA